TCTACTAGGCAAGTGGCTTGAAATTCTTTCAATTGATATTTTTCTTTCCAATACTGTGCTTTATGTTCAAATTGATTTCGTTCCTCTTTCAAAACTTGAATGGCTTCACGTTGATAATGCATTTGCTGTTTCAAGTCATCTACGAGACCTTGTAGTATCTTCTTTTCTTTCACAGATTAACTAAGCTCTTTTTCTTTAGATAACAAATTAGACCAAATTTGTTTTGTATTTTTTTGAATTTTTCAAGTTATGTGGTCATTTTGGTGATGGACCTATGCCAGCTTTTAGAAATATTTTCTTGTTCTCTTTCAAGCTTTCGAGATTTTGCTTCACTCTTATCGGGTTTGTCTTTCTACTCATTAATCTCATGCTGGAGCTTTTTCTTTTTAAGCATCCATATTTTTATTTCTTCTTCAAATTTATGCTTTATAGTCTTTATATCTTCAGGAATCTTTTCATAATGGGTGTTTTCTTTAGGACCAACTTTGCTTATGACTCATTGACTTCTCCATATCAGATATTCAGGTGTGGCTTTGTTTGCATATCCTCCACGATTTATTCTTCAAGTCTGCTTCTATTCTTCGATAATCTCTTTTACCTTTTCCAGAAATTATGATTCCTTAAAAAAGAATTCTAATTCTTAAAGCCCATGAGTCATTAGGACAAATTGCTCTAATCCTAATTGTTGATGAACTAGTGCCGAAACATAGGTCATACCTCCCCACGATCTTACGAGTGGAACCCATGGCTTGTCACCACACTTGTATAACATAGCCTCTTGTGGCATTCATGGAGCTCTCCATATAACCTGAGCAATAGTGAGATTTTGCAAAGTTAATACCCATTCTTCCTTAGCCTTTGATTCTGACCACTCAACATTGTAACATTCTTTTGGTCTACTTTTATTATAATAAGTAGGATGGAATTTACCCATGGGATGTTAAAGATGACTTTTTGCCCAAATGTAAAGTAACGGTACACACCCTATGAAGCATCTTTCTTTTCTTTGACAATGATTCAATGATCTAAAGGTTTCTACTAGTATAGAAAGAGCATGATTGATTTTATTGTCCACCTGCTCAAGAAAGTCAATCACTGATACCTCATGTGCCCCAAGACCTTTAAAAAAATTATCAAGCCATAAATTACCAAAGCTATCATTCTCATGCCTCATTCATCCTCTAAGTGTTTGATGATGTGATCACATAAGATTTCTCATGGGATGCAATCACTTTTGCCTTTTGTTTGGATATATGAGTTCATATTCTAAGTGGGGACCTCCATCATACAAGCGAGTTTCTTTTGAGATCCAAGTTTTTGACTTTACCAATAGATTTTATCTTGATTAGAAAAATGCAACTATAACAATGTAGTATACTTTTCAATTGATGGGGTCATATTTATTTCGTTGAATATGAAACATCTGTATACAAGGTCTCAAAATTGAACTAAAGCTTTTATTAGCTGATTTTTTATAGATACCTCAAGCAGTGAAGCAATATGACCGTATTTTACCTCGAAAGTCATCTTTCTAGAAGTTGTTACACAGAGCCAAATCTCGACCAACTCAAAGATGTCATTTTGTTGAAGTTCCAATTTGATTTCTTCAGGCAAAATTTCTTGTTCAGATTCTTTCAAACAATTTCTCATTCTATTTTAGGCTTATAATGATAGAGTTATCACCACTTTGGTCTCTTCACACACGGTGAGCTTCGAAGTTGAAAACATCATGATGGTATTTCTGAAGCAAGACTAAAAATCTTCTTACTTATATTGGCATATTGATAAGCATATCCTTTATGCAAGTGTTTATGATGATGCATGATCATGAAATGAAAAAAAAGTAAAACAAGATAGGGATAGTAATCATATTAAAATAAATATTCCCTCATGTATCCTAATTTAAGGTATAATCTACAAAAATGGTAAGGCCCTATCTAAGGTTGGTTTCTTAAGGTTCATGCATGGTTTGGTAATTAACACAGGCTAAAAATGTTCCCAAATTGATCTTTACTGTCATCCACTCTAGACTAGCAAGGCTCCCGATCTTTACCCATAACGAACTGTTGATGGAAAGGGTTTAACTTGAGTGAAAGTATTTCGCTAGCCCAAGTGGAGGCATTATAACCTCACGAAAGTGTAAGTACTCTACTCCCTCCTAAAAAGGGATAGATTTGGGAGCTCGGGTATAGAGCTCATGCATGAATGCAAATGTGCACATGTGTGAGGGAATGTAACAATTATTAATCAAATTAACAATATAGTTTGCAATAATATAAAATAAGTACAATAACATATCAAAACTAAATGAAACAAAAAAAATTATTCTAAGATGAGATAAGAAATTAAAATTAAATATAAAAAAGAGCATAAAATCAAATTTTGGATGATGTATGTTTAATTTTTGGCTTGACTCTCAAGGATCTCTAACGGAGTCACCAAGCTGTAATAACAATTTTTTGTCTAGAGGACTCGATCGCTAGACTTGATGAAATTTTCGGAGTCGCCACCAATATTTCTAGAGGGTGTGATTGGCCACCCAAAAATATCATCTTTTAATAAAAATTTTAAAATTAATTAAGATTTACTAAAAGAAGTTTAGGTCTACGAAACTAAAATTAGATTTGGGAGTACGATTATGAGTGAGGGAGGTATCAGCACCCTCACGTTGCTGGTTCAAAGAACAGTACCAATTAAACATGTGTAATCCTTTAATTTTGATGATACAGTCTTTTATATTTATTTAATTTCTTAAAATTTATTTAAAAAAATATTTTTTTGTTGTGAAATTAGTATTATTATTATTATTTCATATTCTATAAATTCTCCAACACTTTGATGGAATTTATAGAAAATCACTATTTAGAAAGTATTTTGAAAAAATTGATTATTCATAAAATTCTTGAAATCTTGTTATAAGATATTTTATTTATTTGTTTTAAAAAAGATTTTAGGAACATCTTGACTCTTTGGTAAGTTTTCAAAATTTATTAAACAAATTTTAAGATTATCTCGACTATTCAGTGACAACCTAAAAATTTTGAATAAGTTTTAAGATTATCTCAACTTTTGACAAGATCCTAAAAATAATTTTTTTTAATTAAAGGGAATTAATTAATTAATTAATTAATCTTTATTAGGATTATTTTAAAAAATTTTTATTATTTATTAATTATTGTTATTATAAAAAAATTTAGATTATCTCGACTCACCGATGAAATCTAAATATTAATATCTTACTTGTATTAAAGAAAATCAAACCTTTTCAATTTTTTTATTTTTTTAAATATTCAAAATATCAATTATTATTATTTTTATTATTGTTTTACATTGTCTAAATCAATCTTTATTTTAGTAAAAATAATTTTGGATTATCTCAACTCTATGTTAAAATTTGAAAAATTATTTTTACTTGCAACAATTAAAGAAAATTTAACTCTTTCAGTTTTCCCTAAAAATTACACTTACAAGTTCCATTTAAACAATTTATTTTTTTTATTTATCATTTATTTATTATTATTTATTTAGTAAAAAATATTTTTTAAATTATCCCAACACTTTGATAAAATTTAAATAATATTTTTGTTTGTAATAAAATTTATTTCCCTTAAATAGTTATTATTATTAATTTCTTTTGCATATTATATTTTTTAGGTCTTTATTTTATTTTATTTTAGTTTTGTTTTTTATTTTATTTATTCATTTCTAAAAAATTATTGCTAATAATAATATAAAACAACAATAATAATACTAACAATAACATTATAAAAAATCAATATAAAAAGATAAACATAAAAATTAACATAAAATAAAGAAAATCAAAAATAAAAACAAAAAATAAAAGGAAAAAGAAAAGAAAAACCTGTGAAATGGGTCGGGTTGGCGCACTGGTTGACGCGTAGATTCTGTATGGGTCAAATGCCAAAAACGACGTCGTTCTGGAGTGCCTATAAATAGGCCAAAATCAATTTTTTTCTTATTTTCTTCTTTCCCCTCTCTACCCTAAAGCCTCTCTCTCTAAAAACCCAGCAACCAATCGTCATGGCAACCCAGATTTCGACCAGTTGCTATTGTGCACAAGTGGTCGGAATCTTCAACGGCACCAGAAAATTCAAAGATCCCCAGATTTCGGTGGTCGAAAAATTTAAACTTTTTTAATTTTCAATGACCCAAAAAGTTTTTAAAAAATTCTCAAAAAATCCTAAATTGCTCATTTTTGTTTTTTAAGTACTTCTTCAAAGCCAGATTTTTCAAAAAAAATCTCAAACCTCTTAGATCTAAAATTTTATTCTCAGTTATTTTTTTTTTCTAATTTTTTGTTTTACTATTGGTTCTTCAAAGAGGATTGTGATTGCTCCCTTTTTTTTTGTTTTGCAGAACCCCTAGTTGTTCCCCTATATTCCCCTATCTGTTTTTTCCTGTTTTTGCAAAAATTAACTCTATTTATAGAGCTTCTAAGATTCAAGATCCCAGATCTCCTAGGATCTTTTGTGAAAAATTTGAAGATCTGTTCGATGAATTTTGGTCACCAGATTTCATGCTGCCAAGTTAGGCAGTGTCAAAAAGAAAAAAAATCACTTTGGCAGCTTGATTTCAGTTACCAGAGTTAAAACCAAAAGATTTTTTTATGACTTTTTTTTTCTTTTTTTAATTAATTAATTAATTAATAATATTAATATTAATATAAAAACAAAAAAAATCATTAATCAAAATTAGTGTCTACAATAATAATAATAATAATAATAATAATAATAATAATAATAACAAAATCGATTAAATTTGGTATATATATAACATATGTATATGTGTGTCTGTATAAGAGTAATTGATAAATATGCAAATAAGAGAATAAGATAAAAGCCATATGCACTAAATTTCTTTGTTACACAAACGGCTAAATCGGTTAAGAAGACAACAAACTATAATATGCAGTTTTGCTATAGTACATATACATCAAACATTCATATATAATCTTCTAAGGGGTAAATGGAAATAAATAAACAAATAATTAACAGCAATAATTTTCATTTTAAATTACACAAATTTAGCTAGCTTCGACTTTTATTTTGATACAGGTACTATGTAACATTCAAATCTAAATTCAGTCTCTCCAATTCATCCTTCCAAACACAGCAATAAGAAAGTAATACTAGTAGCTACACACCACAATAATCTGAAAGAGCACATTTTGCAGTTTGGCCAGCCTCGGTGTAAAGGAATCCCAAAAATTGATCATGGGTAAAGGGTTTAAAGAGCAAGGGATGTTGTTCATCCACTAGCTCTTCGGGGGCCTTTATTGTGTAACCGGCTTTTGGGATGGAAAATAGTCCCGCTGAGTATCTTGTCTTGTTTCCCTTCAACATCACACGATGAAATGGAGAGTGCACGTGACCATTTAACCATGCCTGCAAATTTATGATACAAACTTAGTTTCAGCACAAATTTAATTTGTGTTTCCAAATTCATATACTCCCTCTCCCTTCTTCATCATGTTTGTTTTTTACATAAGAAAGAAGGATAGTCTATGAAAACTAAGTTGTCAAATATTTGTTTAGTGATTTGTTTATTGCTTTCAGGGTTAAAACACAAAGGAAAATTAGTAAAATGATGAAGAGTGACGTTTCAACCGAGAAAAATTTAAGTACAACAGCGACATAGGAGTTGAAATTTTTCGATAATATTTTAGCATCTTACGAGGATTTTTGTCCAACCGATGGATACTTCAGAGTTTAAACCTTTGGACATCATCTTTTTTTTTTTTTTTTTAATCTTTGACTTATTGAAAAGGGGAATGGGAAGGGACTTACATAGAGAATATCCCCAATCATCACAATGAATGAGGCAGGGGAGGGCTTTAGGTGGATCCATTCACCATCTTTGGTTCGAACCTCTAATCCATCCACATCATTTTGGTACAATATGGTCATTGTATTCTTGTCCGTGTGACCATATAGTCCAAGCTTTGCCTCAGTTGTTTCAGGCCCTTTATATTTCATGAGTCTAAGAAGGTAGTAATTCGACTCCATGTGCTCATCCATGTATTTCTCAAGACTTAAGCTCTCCAAAATCATCCTCCTAACCATTCGTTCTATTCCTAACACTTGCTCAGACAAAGACTGTATCGATTTGCTGCCAAGATCAAAATGCAAAAGATCAGTATAAAGAGTTATCTCTCGCATAGAAATTAAATTTGGTTGACTTTTTTTTCTTTGCCGATGATTAGAGTAGGAGAGGATGATTGTAGAAGGGAATTAAGCGAGTATTGTTATATAGAATTAGAACCTGAAAGCTGTATTCCCTTGGGGCCATAAAATGTTAGACAAGCCTTCTACATTCTGGGTGATGTTTGGTTCATCAATACCAATGCTTTCATATAGTGGCGACCTCTCAGGGTGAACCCCCAGATATCCATGGTAAGGCTTCTCAGAAACATTGAGCATTTTGGTTTCCAATGGGAGGTCAAACACTTCTTCTAATGCTCCAAATACTGCTTCTCGAAGCTCTATATCTTCATCGACCAAAGCCTCAAAGCAGCCGAATTCTTCAAGTGCTTTTCGGACTAGAACTTTCACTGAATCCCATTCAGGGGTGCCTTGCTTTAGGTCTTTGTTTGAGAAATCTATGATTGGAAGCCTAAGTGGTGTCTCGCAACATATTTCTTCTCCCATCGCGTGGTAAACAACAATGGCAGATGTAGATCCTTTCTTTGGGTCAATTAAGCTAGCATTTTAATTAAATTGCTTATATAGTTTAATATGATGCTTATATTAATACAATATTTAGGAGATAAATGAATGATAGTGGGTTTTTTTCTTCTTTCTTTACTAATTAATTTTATTTAAGGAAGGCCAAAACTTAATGATTATATCAACAATCCCGTGGTCGATTGGTAGATTCTTAATTTAATAAATAAGATTCAAATTCTAGCAATCTAAATATTAAAAAAAAAATCAATGATCATGTGTTATTTTAAGAGTAACATCAGTTCTCTCATTAACGAGATTCTTGGCAATGGGCAAATCACTTTGTATGTGCTGGCTATAAACAGCTAGCTAAAAAGTCAACTCCCAATTTCATCATTAAAAAGGATCATTTTTTAAATTGTTGCTGCTGATTGGACCTGATATTGGTTCTCTTACTGATGATGATGCAAACGTGGTGATGGCTTAACTAACTATTATTTAATTTTATTTCAGCCACATTTCAATAATAATCGATTTCCTTCGTTTATGGTTAAAGAAAATGGGGCATTATTTACATTTTGTAGGATGATAAACAAATGCCCATCTAGTTGTTTTCTTTCTATGGAGTACAGCTTTTTGTTTAAAGATCAAGTTTCTTTTAGGTACGTTATTGATTAATCAATTAATATAATGCCACTAGACAATCAAGTTGAAGGAACAAAAATGAAGAAATGTTTTAGTAGGTTTTTATTGGGGAAGGAGGATGTGAACTTGTTTATTTGAGTAGGAGTAAAATGTATCCAATACATACATGATTTTTGTATAGTATTTTGATTTATTTATGGCTTTTAAATTTGAGTTTTTTCATTCATGATCTTTAAAATATCTTCTAAATTCATTCATTTCCTCGATCATTGTTAAAAATTTAACGAAATATGTCATATTAACACAAGTGGATGTTCTTATGGCATAAATTTTAGCTCAAAAAAATTAAAGACTGCCGTTTTGCTCATGTCAACATCCACAAAGACATACGCATAACTTTGAGATGATAAATTTTGTTATTTTAATGACAACGGGTGGAATGGATGAATTTTGAACATTTTAAAAGGTTATATACCAAAAAAATTGAGTTTTAAAAATCTTTGATGAAAATGAATTGTTACTTAATGTCGTGGATCTATGATGTAATTTATTCTAAGAAGGAGATATAAGGAATTACGTGTTAGTGAATCAATTATTGCTTGAGTGCCAAAAAATGGTTTATGATATCGCTTGAATCTCTAATTTTGCATCGAGGACAATAGAGCGCCACATATATCCCGGCTTATATTTTGAGAAACCTCGCTTATGAAACAAAACATGAAACTAAAATGTTTTAGTTGCTTTGATTTCTTTGGATTTAAAGTTATCAAAAATTAAACTTTGACACTTGAAATTAAAAATTTAATATTTTATCAAAATCACATGATTATTTATAAATTAATTGCTCAGATTCAAAGTTAAAATTAATCCGAAATTGTATCACACGTTCATTTTTTTTGAACGACATCTCCCTACTTTCAGGCAAATAATCAGAGTAACTCGATTTGTTTTCTGTTTCCAGTGAACTAAAAAAGAAACAGAGAGAGAAAGGAATGAAAGAAGAACGCATGTGACTTTGCCACCAAATCAGCACACAAACGCAACATATGATGGTTATTGAAGAAATAAAATAACTTCAATTAGCGAGAATATTGCAGCCATCACAACCAGATGAAAGGTTTTCCTTAAAAAATTTGGAGACTTCTCTTTTAGGACACTGCCGAAACAGGTCAATCCTAGGCAGCTGTACTGAGGAAGAAAAGAAACACACAAATGACAACCACATTAACCTGGAAATGATAAAATTTTTATAGCTATAGTTTTTTTTTTCCCTCAATTATCCATATCTATATCTATATTACTTGTAAAACTTTTGACCGAGTTTAATATCATGAGTCAAATGTTACAAATTTAATTTAAAAATAAAAAATTAAATAAAATCATAATATCAAATAATAAAAGCTGATATTCATATCTTTCAATTTTTTATATAATTTTTTTTTTGAAAATAAAATTGCCTAATTCTTCCTATATATAAACCTCTTACTTTTCCTTAAAAAAACTACCCATATGTAACTTCTTATTCTCTTCTAATATAATTTTATTTTTTTATTCACATAATAAGTGTGCACATTTTTAGTAATTTAGGTAACAACAATTTTTGGAGAGTTTTGCATCTCTCTTGTGTTTTGAACCTGTTCGTACTTTGCCAGTATTGTGGATCAGCTAAAATAATAAAGGAGTCCCTAAACTTTATCATTTTATTTAAAAAAATTATTATATTTTTATTTTACCCAAAGAAGCTCTTTTTTTTTTTTTTTTTATCTAAGTATGCTTTTATTTTAAACAAAAGATTGATTTATTTTAAGAGATTATTTAGATACAAATTTAATAATAAAAATTTATTTAGATACAAATTAAATGATAAGATCTTATTAGTGTGTAAAAATTAAGGGCTTATTTGGGTTTAGCGCCTTATATAAATAAAATGGTAAAATTCAGATTTCTTTTTTTTATTTTAACCTTGTGGGTCTGATTATTTTTTTGGAATTTGGCCCACTTCCCTGCAGTTAGTGTTTTGATTGAATGAGGTTGTAATAAATGATCATTCTCATCACTGTCTATTAATTTGTTGTGGGCTAACTTGAAATCTCATTCGCAGCAATCTTGACACAAGTCTTGATTCATAGGCCACTCAAACATATTTTACATATACTAGTTAACTCATATTTTACATATTGTTTTACATATTTCTGTTATTAGAGAATTTTTCTTGTTAAAATATTTAAGTTTTAAATACAAAAATAAAATTAAGTATATATCATAACATTATAAATATTATAAATAATTGTGATATGTATTTAAAGAAATTAAAATGCAATTTGATTTTTGTAAAAGCATAAGGACGTTCTTTTTTTTTAAGTAAAAATACTTATTAAAAATCAATAAATTATATTGGAATTTATAGCTTGCTTTTTAGTTTTTCAATTGAATTACATATCATTCTCACTCTCTTTTTTTTTTTTTTTGAATTAACCAATGAGAAAATTTTTTTTAATAAAAATTACTTTTAAGGACTACCTGCATATAAGTGTTAATTAACTCTTTTAAAAGCTAAGCTCGAACTTGGATCAACCCAAACATTTAAATTTATTATTGAAATATATGAAAATTTTTCTGTTAATATTAAATATTTTTAATTACTTTTTAAAATTAAAATAATTTTGATTTATATAGTAATATCCTATGTTGGGACCCACCCAAAAAATTCTATCCAAATCCAAACTCATGAACAATAGACTTTGGCCCCCAAGGCCAATATTTTGTCACTGGAAGCCCTATTTTTCTTGTGGTGATATTCTCACACTAATAATAACAATCCTTTTTTTATTCATAGTAGAATCTTTAAATATATAACCAACAAATCTTCCATTATTCAATTATAAAAGATAATGTCAAAAATAGCGTGATATATTGAAAAAGTACTGAAATTCTTAATTATTTGAGTTTCAGTTTTGAGAACTTCAAATTACAATACTATTAATTTAAAGAAGTACTTAAGGTTTTGAAAAATCGAATTAAGATGCAAACTATATATATATATATATATATATTTAGACACCACAATAAACTTTAAGAGAAGAGTGAGCTTTTTGGCCATCTTCGGTACAGCAGAATTTCAAGAATTCAGCGTAATCAAAGGGCTTATAGAGCAAGGGGTGTGCTTCATCCACTAGCTCCTCTGGTACTTTTATTATGTAGCCTCCTTTTGGGAATGAAAACAGTCCAAGCGAGTACCTTGTCTTGTCTCCACTTATCATCACGCGATGATAAGTAGACTTCAATCGCCCATTTAACCATGCCTGCAACATTCAACTCAATTTATCTATAAGCATTTTTCTTTCACTTCAAAATTTTATTAATTAGCCTAAACATGATAATTATAAGTGGTCTATATATATGATACAATGTTAAATCATAAAAATAGAAATTCCACTAAATTTGGTTTAGCTTTTTTCTTAACGAATTCATTAATAGATGGGAAAACTTGGAAGATACTTACATGGAGAGATTCCCCAATGGTGACAATGAAAGAGTCTTTAGAGGGTTTCACATCGATCCATTCTCCATCGTTGCGCTGTACCCCCAACCCATGAACCTCATTTTGGTACAATATGGTCACTACGTTCTTGTCTCTGTGAGCTTTTAGTCCAACCTGTGTTTCAGTGGTTTTTGGCCCTTTATACTTCATTACCCTAAGAAGGTAGCCCGTCGAGTCCATGTGCTCGTCAATATATTTCTCAAGATGGAAAATCTCCAATATCATTGTTCTTATCATTTCATCTAACTCAGATAATTGCTTTGAGAAGGATTGTATAGTTTTGCTGTCAAGATTAAGTAGAGGTAAAAAAACATGTGGATAAAAAAAATTTAAGAGAATAAGTATATGTATACATAGACAATATGCCATTTCATGGAAAAAAAAGGCAGAAGGAAACTTATGAACCTGAAACGTGTGTTTCCTTCAGGCCAAAAGGTACTAGTCTGGGCTTCAACTTTTTCAACAATGTTGGCATGTTCAATGCCAATGCTCTCAAACAATGGTACTAGAGGGTGTTGACCAAGATACCCATGATAAGGCAGTTCGGAAACATTGCGAGTTTTGATTTGTAGAGGGAGGTCAAAAAGCTCTTCCATGGCTCCAAATATTGCATCTCGAATCTCGAGAGGGATCTTGTGGAACAATGCGTCAAAGCAACTGTACTCTTGAAGGGCTTGTTCCACTTGCCCTTTCAGCAAATCCCACTCAACCGTGCCAGGTTTTAGGTCTGGCTTAGTGAAATCAATGACTGGAAGCTTCAAAGTAGTTTGGGAGTCCATTGCTAACAAAGAACAACGGAGAGGAAGTTAATTTTTTCTTGTGATTAGATCTGAAGTATTATCATGTAAATGAACCAATTTATATACAGCTCCAACGATGCTCGAATCCTTAGGGACGCTTGAATGATCAAGATCAGTTTCTATTCAAATATTAAAATTAAAAAATGATGAATAAATTATGGCTTTAATATTTCAAGAATTCATTTACAAAAAATACTTTTAATGTAATCCTTGTTTTTATTGAAGTTTCGACTTCCGATGAATCACGTTTGACATTTGATAAAAAAAATACTTATAGAAATTAAATTTGTTTGGAGGCGGCATGTTTCCAGGAGCTTCACGTGTTTTCATGTTATTGATATCTTTTCTTTTTTTTTTTTCAGCTGGACCTAGCTGCTTCATAGTATGTAAGACTTACAGTTCATTTAGGAGCCTTCTCCAAAATCAGTTCTTGAAAATTTTATGATGAATATGCAGCTACTATTTTCTACATTTTTACAAAATAATATTTTACTTCTGTCCCAAATTTGAGATATCTTTAGAGCTCACACCCTTCCATCCTAATGATCTCTTTCTCTCATCATTCTTCTCCAATTTGTTTTAATGGCCAGATCTATTAATTTGATGCTTAGCGTGAATACTTTTGGGCAAAACATCTCATGTTTCTTTTTCATCTATTCATGAACAACCCAAGAAGTTTTCTCTTCCCATGTTATTTTTTGCTTTTCAGTATAGTGTATATACGATTTCTTTTTTTAATGAATTATACAATTTACAATTAATCACAATTAACTAATCAAAAATTACATTTATATATAAAAAATCATTGAATAATCAAACAAATAAATTAAAACATAATTAGATAAATTTAACATAAATTTAAATCTAAACACATAATGAAATTTGAATTTAAAATCTCATAGTTCTAAGACCTCTTCTATATATGATTTATTGTCATTTGTGGCCAAACAAATTGACTTGATACGAAAAAAATTGTAAATGAAAACATCTAAGAAAGAAGAAAATAAAAAGAAAGATCATTTAACTTTGTTGCAATCTTATTAATTAAAAGGATAAAAGAATTTTTTAAAAACAAAAGGATAAAGAAAGTGTTAAAATATTGACTAAAATCTCGACAGTTTTGATAAAAGATTTTTTGAGATTTTTTTTTTCAAGTCTACTAAAGATATTGTTTGATAGTCAAGCGTGAAGTAAGCTTATAAATGGTGGGCTCATGATGAATGTTTTATATTTTGATGTTTGGTTGGAAATTGTTAGAGAGAGAATGAAAGAAGAACGCATGCGAGTTTACCACCAAATCAGCATCAACAGCGTGTATAAATCCATTAAGCAACGTATGATTACTAGTGAAAGAATAAAATAACTTCAGTTGGATAGAATATTTAAAGCAAAGATCACAAGCAGACAAAAGGGTTTACTTAAAAAATTTAGAGATAAATGAGAGTGGAGAGAAATGAAATTTCATATCTATTAAATTATGGATAAATTGGATACATAAATATAATAAGAGCTTCTCTCGGTATTAACCTCATTTGGGTACAATATATAAAATAATTATACAAATAAAATAATAAAATATTTATAAATATAAATATCATTATATTATTTATTTTCAATTTAGTTATTGGTTTGGACTGATTTTTTTTTAAAAAAAAAAAAAAACCAAATCAACATATTTTAATTTTCAAATCAACTCAAACCTATCCAATTCAAACTAAATTAATTCAAATCAAATAAAATCGAAATTTTTTTTCACTGGAAGCCTTGTTTTTCTGTACTGGTACCGTGGCACTCATATTCATACTGGAAACTTCAAAGTACAATACTGACATATCTTTCATATACAAGTCTCGAAACCACAAATAATTTCATCCCACGAATTATTTATAGAACAAGGTTTTGACCATAACTAAGTTGCAAACCATTTTTATAGCCAAATTAATTCTCGATACCACAAAAAACTTTAAGAGCAGATTCAGCCTTTTGACCAGCCTCTGTATAGTAGAACCCCAAGAATTCAACGTGATCGAAAGGCTTAAACAGCAAAGGGTTTGCTTCATCCACTAGCTCGTCTGGGGCCTTTATTATGTAACCTGCTTTGGGGATTGAAAATAGTCCAAGCGAGTACCTTGCCTTGTCTCCGCTTATCATCACGCGATGATAAGGAGCGTGCAATCGACCATTTAACCACGCCTGCAAGTTTATGGCACAAACTTTATCTTAGCGATTGTTTATTTAGTATTTCTCAAATTTATTCCCTATTTTGTTAATTAAAAGAAAAGTCATTTGATTTATACAATCATTTAAAATTTTTAATAAATTTAAAAATTAAATTTTAATATCTGTAATTTTTTACGCTATTCTTAAATTGTAACTTACTTTGGAAAAATAAAATATTTTTAATTACAAATATCAAATTAGATTTAATGTTTGAAATCTATCTTTTCTTTTATTTGTTTTTATCTTCAATATTGTTGCTTTAAATTTTTTATAATGTTGGTTTGAACAAACTATAAGAATATTTATCTAGTATGTGTTATTGCTATAATATACCATAAGCCTAACATGATCCATCATTTAACATCTTTAAAAGTTAAGCTTAGACTAAGTTGGTTTGTCAAACAGAAATTTTATTGTAATATTTTAATAGTAATAATCGAAAGCTAAACAAATATATGCTATTTATTAATAAAATAATCTATTAAAACTTATTGGATCAAATTCTACTGTAAAAACCTTGGTCCAACTTTAATCAATTCAAGTCCATTCGACGGGGCTGGACAACCAACTCTGTCCCTAGACACTTGTATCCAAATATCTAGTGTCTAGAATATATTTACTTTGACTTATTTTTATTTTTATAGTCTAACCTTTAAATTATAAGTTGTCTACAGGGGAAATTGTAAAATCATAGCTATGAATTCCTCTAAATTTGTTAGATTTTCTCAAGAATTCGTGAAAAGGGAAGCTAAGATGAGACTTACGTAGAGAGATTCCCCAATCATGACAATGAAAGTGTTTTTGGAGGGTTTCACTTCGATCCATTCTCTGTCCTTGGTTTGAACCTGCAAGCCGTCGACCTCATTTTGGAACAATATGGTCACAACATTCTTGTCCGTGTGACTGTTTAGTCCAAGCTTTGTTTCAGTGGTTTTTGGTCCTTTATACTTCATCATCCTAAGAAGGTAGTTCGTCGAATCCATGTGCTCATCCAAATATTTCTCAAGATGGAAACTCTCCAATATCATTCTTCTAATCATTTGATCTAACTCCGATAATTGCTTTGAGAAAGAATGTATAGTTTTGCTGTCAAGATCAAAAAGTATGTTATCTGTTCTGAATGATGAAAAGTTGTATCTAGTTTTTATGCCAAAATAGGAGTTCGATGAAAAATTACTGGAAAATTATAGTTAGAAGGAAATTATGAACCTGAAACTTGTGTTTCCTTGAGGCCATAAGGTACTAATCTGGGCGTCAACTTTTTCAGTAATGTCTGCATCATCAATGCCCATGCTCTCGTACAATGGTACTTGAGGGTATTGGCCTACATAGCCATGGAAAGGCTTCTTGGAAATATTGCGAGCTTTGATTTGTAAAGGGAGGTCAAAAAGCTCTTCCACGGCTCCAAATATTGCCTCTCGAAGGTCGAGGGGGATCTCGTCGAACCTAGCCTCAAAGCAACCGTACTCTTGAAGGGCTTGCTGGACTTGCCCTTTCACCAAATCCCAGTCAATGGTGCCTGGTTTTAGGTCTGGCTTAGTGAAATCAATGACTGGAATATTTAGAGGAGTTTGGGAGCCCATTAATCCTGATCTAATGCACAACGGAGGAAGTTATTTTCTTGTTACTAACTTGGTGTGAAGCGTTTTCATGTGAATGACCCAATTTATATACACCTCCACCGATACTTGTATCCTTAGAGGACAAAAGAATGATCATGAATTTCTATCCAATATTAAAATAAAATAATATTGATCAAGGAATTATTGCTTTAATTTCAAAAATTCATTGGCAAAAGATTCTTTGAAATGTGCCCTGTCCAGGCATGTTTACACTTTACTCACCTAACCCTTTTTTTTTTTTTATTGCAGTTCCATCTTCCGACTTCCAATTCAAGTATGATGTTTGATGAAATAAAAAAAAAAATACTATTAGGAATTAGGGGGCAGCATATTTCCAGGACCATTTTCATGTAGTTTTCATCTAATCGGTATTTTTTTGAGTACGAATTAATTAATTAATTAATTAATGCATTTGGACAAAAGATTTAGCCAAAGTATTTCTTTTTCAAAAATTTGTTTTCTGATTGAGATTGGTGGAAAAATACGTATTTTGATGATGCATTCTTTTGGACCACAAGTTAAAAAAGAGCTAATACTTTCATTATGAGTGGTTTTAATTTTTTGGATCGATGCTATAGTTTTTTTTTTTTTTTTGTCATTCAAAGGATAGAATCTTACATTTAAAAAAAAAAAGAATGTTAAAATTCGAATCTTGATTTTGATATTTTTTTTAAAATTATTTTAATTACTAAATCAAACACTTGAAGACATACTGTAATTTGCAATTGTTACAAAGAAGCTACCACGCGCGACCGTGCCACTGTTTATCGAATGATTGTAAACAAATGTAATCTGTAGTACTTGTTGCACTGTTATCATTAGTGGCGGGTCCAGGATTTTACATTAGGGAGATCAAACTAAATAATAACTATAATTTGAAAATTTTTATTTAGTATAAAATATATTATTATTTTATTAAAAATTATAAAAAATTTTAAGCAAAATATGAGATTTCATAATATAACCATAAATAAAATAAAAAAATTAAGTTTTGAAATAAAAAATATATAATTATTTAAAATAGAAGAAACTCAAATAATTTTATTTAAAATTGTGCATGATGATATTTCATAAAAAAATTCATTAAATTTAAAAGATTTAACAAATTTTCTCACAATATAGATAACAAGAATAAGTGTTTTTTTCTCAATAAATATTTATAATTTTCTTAGATTTAAAATTTTAAAAAATTTATAATTTATTATTATCGTAACGGTTTTGAGATCATTAGACGTAAAAAAATTTTAAAATCGAAAAAAAATGAAGAAATCGTCATCAATTTTTTTTTGGGTGTGATTAATTATTTAAAAATTTTATTTTTTGTTTAATTAATAAATATTAAAGCAAAAAAATAAAATAAAATATAAATATGTTTTGAGCTTAAAGAATAAGATTGAGCTTCGGATCTGATTGGATCAAATTGGGTTTGAAGTTCAATTGAGTCAAAATCGAACATAGAATCTAGTTGAGTTAAAATCGGACCTGAGACCCAATCAAATCGAAATCAGATCTGGGTCTGAAAATCTAATACACGTAATAAATTTTAAAATGAGACTTGACTAAAAATCAGATAAATTTAATATCTACAACTATTAATAATTTTAAAATCAGAAGACAAAAGATGCATTAATCTTATTATGGAAGAAGTTATATGCATTAATTTTATCATGGAAGAAGTTATAATTGCCTTTTGCACCATCATCATAATTGGCTTTTTAAAAAGACAAAAATGCCATTTTTTGTAATAATTATAACGACTCGATGCTGGGTTCAATTTTTTTAAGAAATAAGACTTAATTCTAGGTTCAGGTTTGTGTCTCTTTTTGTTATATTAATCTCATTTTTTTATTTTTTTGTTAAACTTCTTTAAATAGTTTTGACTTTTTAATGTGGGTCATATTTAACAAATATATTTATTTTTTAAATTTTTAATGAGAACTAAACTATAAATATTAATACTTTTTACAAAGTAATTAAAATTCGAGAATTGAAATTTTTTTCTTAAAAGGTTTTTTTTTAAATTATAAGTATAAATTATAATTATAATTAAATATTACATAATTGAATAATCAAATAAATAAACTAATCAATAAATTAGGACATAACTAGACAAAATCACATATAATAAAATTTAAACTTAAAATCTTGAGATTTTAAACATTTATAATCACTAAAAACAAATTTTTATTTTTTAGGAAGACTATTTTTAATTTTTTTAAAAAAACCTCTTATGAATTATATACATTATACCAATATGAAGTAGAGGGTTTTAAAAATCTTAGGGGAGTGGGGGGGGGGGGGGGGAAGTGGGGGCATGGCCCCCTCTGGTTTAAACGTGGCTCCGCCATTTGTTATCACTTTTTTTTTTTTTTTGAAAAATAAGATTTTATTAAGAAAAAGACGGGTACAAAATTACAACCATGCAATCAAGTCAGTGGATCTATCCACTCCCGACTTGGTTAGATAGTCCGCTAAGTGATTAGCTTCTCTAGATACATGAACAAACGAAATAATGACAGCTTGTAAATGACAGAGGCGGTTGATGACATTACTGAACTTCCATGGGCTTTCGCTAATGTGATTCACCCATGAGATAACAACTTTGGAATCATTTTCAATAATGAGGTCTGGCAGAGGATTGACATTTGCTTCCATCACAATCGTGAGTGCCTCTACCACAGCCATTAGCTCAGCAAGATTTGAATCCATGAATCCAATATTTTTGGAAAAGAGAAGCTTAATCTTTCCTTCACTAAAGCGAAGCACTTCACCTATTCCTGCTGGTCCCGGTTTTCCACGAACAGAGCCATCAACATTGATCTTCCATTTTCCTTTCGGGGGTGGACTTCAGAGTGCTGACTTGTTTCTTGGTTTCTTAGGCAGTGAGATTGAGAGATCTTGCATGCTTTGTAGAGAAGCTTGATATATTGAAATTTTGTTCAGGAAACTTAGCTTTCATCCAATAACCAAGACGGGCTTTAGTTAGTTCAAAGATTTGATCCCCTGATATAGATTTTTGGTTGAATACCACTTCGTTTCTCGCCAACCAGATGGACCAGACAATTGCATAAAAAAGGGTCTCCCAAGTCTGCTTCTGTTCTTTCTTACAAAGCAGATCACACCAATATTAGAAAGCTACCTTTAAAGAACCTGGAATGATCCAAACTAGGCCCCATTGGTTATCACTTACTATGAATATTTTGATGGTTTTTACTAATTAATATAAGTTTTAGATCACATTAGGTGTATAAGATAATAGATAAGATAGGATGATAATTATTTTATATTATATTTTATTTGTATTTTAAAAAATGGATAGAATTATAAGGAGAATTAATCATCCTCTTTGTATAAGATGATTTAATTCTTCCAAAGTAGAAAAAATTATATTTAATCCATTAAATTAAACCTACATGCCTTATTATTATATTTTTAAAAATTACATAAATAATTTAAATTATATAAACTTTGAGAAAAATAATTTTGACTAATAAATAAATTATTCTATTATAATCTTTATACACATCAAACATAAGATAAGATGACATTATTTAATTTAATCTTTTTTATAATATTATTTTATCTTATCCTATCAAGTCATGTTTAGTATACAAAATTACAATAAGATAAGATAAAATGATATTATAAATAGGATTAGATTAAATAATGTCATTTTATCTTATTTTTTATGTGTATAAGGATTAAAATAAGATAATTTATTTATTGATCAAAATTTATACAATTTAAATTATTGATATAATTTTTAAAGATATAATAGGACATGTAAGTTTAATCCTATAAATTAAAAATAATAATCTCTACTTTAAGAGAATTGAATCATCATATACCAAGATGATAATAATCCTCTTCGTAATTCTATCTATTTCAATTAAATACAAAACAAATATAATATAAAATTATTATCATGCTATTATATCTATCATTTTATGCAACAAATATGATCTGTCATAATCTTGTGTAGTAATCAAATTCATAAGATATTATATAATTTATATGGTGTTGTTCATTTTAATTAATTTATATGAGTTTGGTTCAATTTATATTTGATTAATTTGTTATATTTTATGTAACACATAATTAGTTATTTGATAGTAAAAAATGTAATTTCATTATAAAAGAAACAAAAATATTATTGTATCATCTTTTCTACCTCCATTAGCTTTTAAGATTTTGATTGGCATGAAAAAAAATATGTATAGTATATCTAATGAAACCATTAAGATAAAATTTTATTATAAATAAAATATAAGAAAATATTTATTTATTTGTTTGAAAGTTGTATTATAGTATAAGATTCTTTATATTTAATTTTGTCAATATTAAATTAAATAACAAAACATTATAAATAAAAAATATTATTTTACTTATTCTATTGACACATGCAGTTGTCCTCAACAAAGTATATATTAGTAAGAGTTAATATTACGAATAATTCTTAAATTATAATAAAATGTTTAATAAAATATTGAATTTTAAAAATTTTATTTAAAGTATAAATTTATTAATTAATATGATATTCATTCTTAATGTAATTAACTTCAAATTATGATATATGGTGAATAAATAACCATTTAAATATCATATTAATTAATAAATTTAGAATTTAAAAATCACATAAAAATTTTTAAAGTTGAGACATAATATTTAATATTTTACTATAATTTAAAATTATTCATGATATTATCCTCATTTGCGATGATTTTTTCACATAAAGTTGTAGAAAGAAGCAACAGAGATCAGAAAACTTAGTGATATAAAGCTTCGGAGCACAAAACTTGTGATCTAAGAAAAGAATCCGGAAATTAGAGCAATCTTTGTTGAAGAAGAATCCAAACTGAGCCTAGCTTTGACAAAGAGAAAACTTAAAGCCCTAATCAACAATACTTGTCAGGTAGCCTATGAACTTAGCCTTAATCACGTCAGAAGCATTTAAAAAATAGCAGAAGTAGAGTTCATTCTATCTTTGTAGATATGCCACTAGATTTAATTTA